GCCCCCTTGCAAAGTCTACCTTGGCATTGAAGGGGTTGCAGTTTACTATGCAGTAGAATAGCTACAATTTTGTTTTGAGCTGCAATATTTTTATTAATAGAATTTGTAGATTATGTAAAATGTACTTGGTAACACTGTAACATTTGGTAACATAGTTACTCCATGTCCTATGTTTTTCTAGTAATGTTTTTATTATGCTTAAATACATTTTCTTATTTTATTTGTGACATTGTTAGAAGCCATTTCTATAGAGTAGGCAGTTGAGTATGCTGTCATACCTGAATTATTGTATATTGCCTTTTAAAAGCATACTTGCCATCCTAACTTAGCCAATAAGCATGACATTGCAACAGCTGCAATGAGTCTGGTATCAGAAGATGGGAGGTAATGTATTAAGAGGCTGCCCAACAGTGACCGGATGTACCTGAAGGTAGGATTACAGGAAAATCGAAGTTGTAACTTTTGCAGATTTTCTTTTGAAGGAGTAAAACTGAAGGACATAACACCGTTTAAGGTATAGATACTCAAGGAAGACAGTGATACTTAGCCAGGAGATGTTACTAATTGCTCTTAATGTAAACTTGTCAGTTAAGAGTCTATTTTAAGTTGATGAAACTGAAATTCATAAACTGGAGTCTTCACACAGAACAAAATGTAAACATAGCATGAGTGCTTCCTTCTGCAGTTAGTGAGGGTAGTTACTTTTACTTTTCCACTGACAATTGCAGAAGTATGCAATTGTTCATTTGCTCTTTAAGGACCAGGCATCTCTTGCAACTTCCGTATTTTAACATACTTGAACTTTTTGTGTTGTTGCATGTGACTTTAGTGCTCTCCATGTCAAACTGGTATTGGAATATATTATTCTGATACTGGTGGCTCTTAGTTTAGGTTAGTTTTTGGTTATGAGTTGACTGGATTTTGGTGAATGTTATGGTACTAAAAGCTTTATGAAGAGGAAGAAAGGTGGTTGTGTACCTACCTGACCTTGTAACTCTTTTCCAGGGCTTCACAAGTTTTGTTCACTCCAGGGAGGAGAAAGTTTCCTCTCTACCCATTACACTGCTGAAC